ATATAATATAATATGAGAAAGTCTTGAATTTGTTTTTTGAAGGTTGGGATAAACAATAGCAAACATAGTATGGAAAAATAAAAGTTGTTCCTTCAGTGTTTTAAAAAATATATATATAGTCACAACATTGTCCTTGGTTCTTTTTACAAATTGACTTTGTTGTTGGGCATCCTAATTATACTATTTAATTGATACCCTATTTACTATTGGGGTAATATGACTGTATGTTCTGTAAAAAATATAAATTCTGTCTATGCAAAAATAATAATATTAAATCACATTTTTTTAACTTTTATTTTACATGAAACAGAACAGTGTTTAAAGAAAAATAACCCTCGTGTGGTAGTACATACTGTAGTTGTTTATCTTCACAAGATGCATTACAAATGTGATAAAAAATAGTCTGAGGATTGTTTTTTAACCACATCTAAATATTTCACTTAAACCCACTGGTCACAAAAAACAGCACTACTGCTCAAACTTGACCATTTCTAGAAAGTTTGCAGATATTTTTATATAAAAAAAAAGACCAACCTGAACATTTAAATCTGAAAAAGTATAAAATGTGTAGAAACCCTGCAAGCCTTGTTAAAGAAATTTCTTGTGGCTGTTTTTAGGACAAAATGTGCCACCTTCTGGAAGAACTGCGCAAAGAACTGGAAGAGCCAACCAACATGTTCTCCTCTAAAACAGAAACCGATTCACTTGATGCAATATTTTCACATCTGGAATCTGGGTGGAGAGAAGCGAAGAGTAAAGAAGACACTGACCCTTTAACTCACGAGTCACTGATCAATAGCTGGGATTTGTCACGTTATGACGATCCTTCCTCTGTAAGAAATACACCTGCARCCAAAGCAGATGGAGATGAGATAAAGAGTGACGACGATAAAAAGGGCTTKGACTCAGCTTTACTCAGTGATGAATTTTCAAATAATCCAGGTGACAGTCAAGAGGGCTTCCATCAAGTAGACCCAGCTGCAACAAAAGTTGATGAGAACTGTGAGCACTCCATTACAAACAGCGATCTTAAGCAAGGTGACATAAACTTTGACGGAGAAGTCAAAGAGCTTGAGGATCTGGGAAATCGTCTGTCAGAGATGTTGCATGTGTCCAGAAGCACACACTCACAGGAACCTGCCAAYGGAGCTGACACAAATAGTGCTGCCTCTGACAGTGATGATGATTTCTAACTGTTTTTTTTACTCAGGGTTTGAATTTCTTCTTATGTTTGGTTATCAAAAAGTGTTGTTCTGAAATGGAGTGGAATATTTTAAGGACATGAAAGTAGGCTATAGCTATTAATCGTTCACTACTGGTTTACTATGTTTTGAAACTCACTGAATAGCTGTTTTTTTATTTTTATTTATTTTCCCCAAATCTAATGAAAATGTCTATTGTACATTGCAGTTTTATTTCTATAATTTATAGCTTTATTAAATTTACTGTTGTAGAATTAGTGACTCTATAGTCATAACATAAGCATTGTGTATTTAAAGTTTTCAGTTATAAAGAACTATGTAATAAAGAAAGTACAGTATATTCTCCTCAGGTGTTTCACTTCTGACATGTAGTGACCAAACTGTCTTTCACCAGAGTGTCTTTCAATTGCAATAAACTGTTTATKCTTGTCCTTGGTGCACAAATTTATTTCTTGGGTGAAACTACAGTTTAGCAGATCACGTCTTGGGTAATGCTGCAAACAACTAAAAAAAAATATATCGTATGTGCGTGATTATAGTTGTCCAATGAGCTGTAAGTCGATGTAAAAGGTAAACAAACATGTCTGCAGCCAGCAGTTCATGACAGCTGTCTCGTTTCTGGCATTTTCACCGCTCAGCATTCCAGCTGTCTGATGTCATGGCACCGAAAACACCAATGTATTCCTCCGCCAGAGGGGCACTATGATATATTTAAAGTGTTGTCTTTTAAACGATACCGGCAAGGATGTACTTTACACTTTCATAAAGTAGGGTTTCGGATTTTTTCAACTTTATTTTTGGTGGTTAACCTCATGCCGAAATAGAAATTATAAATATAGAGTCGCGGATGGAGACAAAATACACTTGTTGCTCTTCCAATCCCAGGAAGCGAAACACGCTTGGAACTCGAGTGAACTGGACCAACAGAGACATGGAGTCACTTCGTTAGTTTTAATCAAGAGACAAACTGCAGTCAAAGAAGCTCCATCGACTTCTAGTTATTATCTAAAAAACCTTGTGCTCATTTATCCTAATGACGGAATAGTCACGGACCTAACAGTGGCTGGACTACTAAATTACATCTCCTGGCTAACGGTAAGGGTTTTTTTTTTTCTCCCCCAAAATATTTACCGGCGACGTCAGCCTCTGGAGGGTGTCGTCTATTTTCTGGAGCATAGGTTAGCTGCCTAGCACTTAGCTTGTTTTAAATGTTTAGTTTTTAAGTAAAKTGAAACTCTTCTAAATAAATGCAACCGTTCTGGGGAAGCATTTGTAAAGTGAAAATTAAACGATACTATGTGGAGTTTGAAGTATGGTTTCACGGGGTGAAAAAAGTAAAGATTTTGCAGTTGTTTGTTGTCTCTCGAGCCGAGTTGATCTGGCTGTTTGGACCAGACTATTTCTCGGTAGGGGATTTTTCTGACCACAAGCTGGGAAAACAGACGAACAAAATCTTGGTAAACGAGATCAAGCAGTGTTTGTTTTTGTGAACTGCTATATAYTTTCCTATATTATTCAACGCGTTAGTCCAAATTATAAAAGTCAATTCAAACCCAAAGATAAAGTACAAAATTTGATGACTTAAGGTAAAACCATGTGTTTGTCCCTTGGCCTCTGTGACACACCAGGTGGGGCGTCTGAGGCCAACTGTAGAAGCGTTGTAACATTTTTTAGTGATGAGTAGGACCAAACGTGTCTCAGTGTGTCATGCTGTGWTGTGTAGTATTGTCATGATGTATTTTTGATTTCGTTCTTCTTTTCATGCTGTAGGTCATGTTTTTGTTATTGATGGACCTCATGACTTGAATAATTTGCACAGTTTCTGGGACGGACACCAAGGAGGACACTAGACACTGGAAGAGGTGGTGACCATTTCCTCTGCAAGAAGTGTGAAACATGCCCTTGCCGTTTGGCTTTAAACTCAAAAGGACTCGAAGGTATACAGTTTCAAGCAAGAGCTGTCTTGTCACTCGGATTCAGCTTCTCAATGGAGACTTTGTTGAGTTTACTCTGTCTGTGGAAAGCACTGGGCAGGAATGTTTGGAAGCAGTAGCCCAGAGACTCGAGTTAAGAGAGGTATGTATGGGTTTCATTCAATACAAGTGCTGATTGTTCTCTCTTATAGACTCTCTTAACACTTGCTATCTCAGCAGTCAAGTATTTGGTTAGGTTTGTCTCCTGGTCACATTCTTTCTTGAAATGAAGTCGAACAGCATTGACAAAAACAAGCACTTTGTCTTGTTTGCATATAACATCTTTCATATTAGTTGCCCTTATTTCAACATTAGGAATGTGTTGGTTTTTATAG